TGGCATAGATCAAGAATAGGATTTGTCGCTCCGATTGTCGGAGAGGTATCTCTGTGCCCTCTCGGTAATGCACATCACTAGAAGCCTTGCAAGCAATGTGACTAATGATTTAGTCACAGGATGATGCACTACGGAACGAGTAAAGAAACTTGCCGGTAATGAGATTGAGCTAGGTATTGAGAGACCGACGATCGAATCTCGGGCAAGTAACATACCGATGACAAAGGGAACAACGTATGTTGTTATGCGGTTTGACCGATAAAGATCTTCGTAGAATATGTAGGAACCAATATGAGCATCCAGGTTCCGCTATTGGTTATTGACCGGAGACGTGTCTCGGTCATGTCTACATAGTTCTCAAACCCGTAGGGTCCGCACGCTTAAAGTTTGGTGACGATCGGTATTGAGTTTATGTGTTTTGATGTACCGAAGGTAGTTCGGAGTCCCGGATATGATCACGGACATGACGAGGAGTCTCGAAATGGTCTAGACATAAAGATCGATATATTGGACGACTATGTTTGGGCACCGGAAGTGTTTCGGGAGGTTTCGGACATATACCGGAGTACCGGGGGGTTACCGGACCCCCCCCCGGGAGTAATATTGGGCCTAATGGGAGTTAATCTTCCGGATGATAGTGTCATTGACAGAATTCTTCAATCACTGCCACCAAGCTACAAGAGCTTTGTGATGAACTATAATATGCAAGGGATGGATAAGACAATTCCCGAGCTCTTCGTGATGCTAAAGGCTGCGGAGGTAGAAATAAAAAAGGAGCATCAAGTGTTGATGGTCAACAAGACCACCAGTTTCAAGAAAAAGGGTAAAGGGAAGAAGAAGGGGAACTTCAAGAAGAACGACAAACAAGTTGCTGCTCAAGAGAAGAAACCCAAGTCTGGACCTAAGCTTGAGACTGAGTGCTTCTACTACAAACAAACTGGTCACTGGAAGCGGAACTGCCCCAAGTATTTGGCGGATAAGAAGGATAGCAAGGTGAACAAAGGTATATGTGATATACATGTTATTGATGTGTACCTTACTAAAACTCGTAGTAGCACCTGGGTATTTGATACTGGTTCTGTTGCTAATATTTTCAACTCGAAACAGGGACTACGAATTAAGCAAAGATTGGCTAAGGACGAGGTGACGATGTGCGTAGGAAATGGTTCCAAAGTCGATGTGATCGCCATCGGCACGCTACCTCTACATCTACCTTCGGGATTAGTTTTAGACTTGAATAATTGTTATTTGGTGCTAGCATTGAGCATGAACATTACATCTAGTTCTTGTTTGATGCGAGACGGTTATTCATTTAAATCAGAGAATAATGGTTATTCTATTTATATGAGTAATATCTTGTATGGTCATGCACCCTAGGAGTAGCTGATGTTATCTTAAACATCAAGCTGTTGAGAGATATGAATGGTGGGATCACACTGCTTCAGTCTCACTATGTGGAAAAGGTCTTGAGTCATTTTGGGTATAGCGACCGCACGCCTTCTCCAACTCCATATGATACTAGTGTGTTGCTTCGAAAGAATCGACAGATTGCTAGAGATCAACTGAGGTATTCTCAGATTATTGGCTCACTTATGTATTTGGCGACATCTCTTTTGCTGCGAGCAAGCTGAGTCGGTTTCTGTCAAAACTAGGAGATGATCATTGGCATGTGCTTGAGAGAGTTATGCACTATTTGAAAGGCATTGCGAGCTATGGGATTCACTACACAGGGTATCCAAGGGTACTGGAGGGTTATAGTGACTCAAACTGGATATGTGATGCTGATGAGATTAAGGCCACAAGTGGTTATGTTTTTACACTTGGTGGTGGCGCTGTTTCCTGGAAGTCTTGCAAGCAGACCATCTTAACGAGGTCAACTATGGAAGCAGAACTCACAACATTAGACACTGTCACTGTTGAAGCAGAGTGGCTTCGTGAGCTCTTGATGGACTTACCTATGGTTGAAAAACTAATACCCCCCTATCCCGATGAACTGTGATAATCAAACTGTTATCGTCAAGATAAACAGTTCTAAAGACAATATGAAGTCCTCAAGGCATGTGAAGAGGAGACTAAAATATGTCAGAAAATTGAGGAACTCCGGAGTTATTACGTTGGATTATATCCAAACGTCGAAAAACTTGGCAGATCCCTTCACAAAGGGTTTATCACGTAATGTGATAGACAATGCATCGATGGAGATGGGTCCGAGACCCACCGCATGAGTTGTCCATAGTGGTAACCCACTCTATGTGATCGGAGATCCCGTGAAGTAGAAGTGGGAGACAAGCTGTTGGTCAGCTGTGAGGAGAGTATCCCTATATTAATTATCCCACTCCGTGAAGATGCAATACTCTCCTGATCTGCATGGCAGGTTGATACTTATCTTAATGTGTTCCAAGTGGCTTATTCGGGTAAGCAGAGATGTTGTCCTACAGAACATCTCCTAAGGAACACACCTATATAAATTTGACTGTTAACGTCGCAGTCTGTGAGAATTGGGTGTTCTCTAATAAATTCATGAAAGGCCCTCGAGTATGACGTATACGCTCCATCCGCGGGGAAGCCTTGCGGCAGCCCAGTATCGGTCAAAAATTTGTGTGAAACTAGTTTCAGAGAAAACTTATAGTTCAAGGCATAGTCCACTATTCAAGTTGTGATCTAGTGTAGCATAAAACTCTAAGTGGAAGTTCAACTTCACAATCTCCACTAAGCACCGGTATATAATTAATGTTTTGAAACTAAATGATGAGATGTGCCAATGAGACTTTGTGGGGGATTGTTGAAATTTTGCTAGTAGGCCTTTGGCCCAAAGCCCAACTAAAATTCTGAAATTCTCTTGGCCCATTCATGCACACATGTGAGTGGAGTGAGTGAGACTAGAGTTTAGTCCCACCACGGAAGTTGAGAGAGACTTGCACCTCTTTATGAGGTGAGCTCTTCTACCACTTGTATGAGCATGAGAAGAGGAGACCTACACGCGCGCTCCTCCTCCTTGCTCGCCTCGCCACGCCACGCCTCGTCACGATGCGCTGTGGGTTGCGGGATTGAGCCGAGCCGAGGACAGAGCTATGCACGTTGTCTATATTTTTGCTGTTCGGGAAAATTAATGAGTCATTAATTAATAATTAACGGACGCGTTAATTACTGAACCGTTTCCGATTCTTTTGGATCGTGATAACTCGGACGTGGGGTTTACTCCCACAACCTACCCGGCCCGCACTATATAGTCAGGCAGACGTCTACCCTAGCCATCGCCGCTTCGTATGGTTTCTCACCACCATTCCAGATCATTGCGCCGTCAAGCAAGTCTTCTCCATCCCTCCTTTCGGCGTGCATCGGGAGAAGGGACAACAAGCCTCCGGAACCCCGCCTTTCGTGATCCTGTACGGGAGAGGGGCGATCAGGTTTTTGGGGAGCGCACTCGCGCGACTGCTGGCAGTGACGACTTCGCGAACGACGACTTCTTCCCCGACCTCGGCAACCTCATCCTCGACGACATGGGCGACAACGTCAACACCGGCGGTGCTGCTCCCGCTGCATCGTATGTGATTCTATCCTTCCTGTTCGAGATCGTGGTAGAATTCATATTTCTAGTATGTGCTCTAGATGTGATCTGTTCATATGCTATGCTAGTTCGCATAATTAGTTCAATCTCTGCTACTGCGGTCATGATTTATCTTCTGTTTATTTGGATTAAATCTCGTAGTAATTTTCACATTTTTTCAACACAAACCGTTTTCACCGTTAGATTCCTCACGTCGAGATCTTCAAAATTAAATCCCACGTTAATAGGTTTTGACAAACCATTTTTCACGAAAAAACCCAGACGAAAAAAACGAACCGGGAGCACATGGTTTTTCCCTTCCCGAAAGAGGCACGCCCATGCCTCTCGTGGAATCACAACCGTGACTCTCGCGAAAGCAAAACCGTGCCTCTCGCAGAATCACAACCGTGCCTCTTGCGGAAGCAAAACCATGCCTCTCGCGGAACGAAAAAGAAGAAGAGAAAACACGTTTTTTTTTCGTTTCCGAGGAGGCACGGCTGTGCCTCTGGCGAAAGCACAACCATGCCTCTCGTGAAAGAAAAAAAACACATTTTTTATTTCGTTTTCGAGAGGCACGGCCGTGCCTCTCGTGAAAGCACAACCGTGTCTCCCGCGGAATGGAAAAAACAAAAAACACTTTTTTTTTCCGTTTTCGAGCGGCACGGTCTTGCCTCTCTTGAAAGCAAAATCGTGCCTCTCGCGGAAGGAAAAAGAAACAGAAAACATGTTTTTTTTGTTTCCGAAAGTCACGGCCGTGACTTGCGAAAAAAAGCGTGTTTTTTTGCGCAATTTTTTTTTAATTTTTTTTTCTAAAGGAGACCGGTGGAAACCCAAAACGTCGAAAACCCCCAAAAAAAACTGTTTAGAAAGCCGAAAACACGTGCGAAAAAACAAACAAAATTCGGAGGGAGCGCCTAGAACGCGACACGTGACGGGCGGCCGAGAGCACGCCAAGTGACGCTGATCATTGTGAGCCTCCTGAAGGAGCGCTCGTTAATTAGTTGCTCTCGCTTTTTGTTTTTTGAGAGGTTCTGGAGTTGGTAGGTGCAAACGTTTCGGCCGCACGGCGTGGACCGAACCTTGTAAGCCTGCACAACCGGCCCAAGTTTCATATTTTTTGTCGTTTGAAGTAAAGCCCCGAAAAAAATATCGTTTTGAAGTAAAACCACTATAAAATTATGAAAAGGGAGGAGTAAATGTTAAGAAAAGAAATGCCAGCAAAGTATTGCTGAAAGCCCACCATGCCCTCTTGTTTATGAGCTCTAGTTTCGACCTCGACGGCGTACAAGAATCTCTCTCTGATACGAGCGGCACCGCACCGACCGTTTCGGCCGGATATATCGTTGTACCTCGAACGTATATGCATCTCTTGCCCACAATCACAAGGCCATCAACGACACGCGCGCCCAGCTGCGAATCGGACCAAATCCAGAGCTAGCTCGTGCGCGTGTGCATGCCCTGTTACTGTCTAGGCCACTGCCTCACCCAGTCACCCATGCCTCAGCTCCGCGCCCTCGTCGCCATCACGCTACTCCTCCACCTCCACGCCGCACCGACGGCCGTCGCGCAGGCCGCGACGGGCGCGTTCATCTACGCCGGGTGCTCGCCGTCCAAGTACGAGCGCGATACCGCCTTCCAGAGCAACCTCGCCTCCCTCCTCGCCTCCATCGCCTCCACCGCGTCCTCCGGCGCCACCTACAACAGCTTCACCGCGGGCGGCGGCGTCGGCCAGGCGGAGGCTGTCCGCACGGCCGCGTACGGCCTGTACCAGTGCCGCGGCGACCTGAGCCGCGGCGAGTGCGTGGCGTGCGTGCGGGAGACGGTGGCGCGCCTGGGCGCCGTGTGCGCCAACTCGTACGCCGCGTCGCTGCAGGTGGACGGCTGCTACGTGCGGTACGACGCCAGCGACTTCGTCGGCCGGGCCGACAACACCGTCGCGTACCGGAAGTGCAGCTCCAGCAGCAGCGAGGACGCCGGGTTCCTCAAGAGCCGCGACGCCGTGCTCAGGGAGCTGCAGGCGCAGGCCGCGACGGGGTACAAGCTGACCGCCTCCGGCACGGTGCAGGGGGTGGCGCAGTGCCTCGGCGACATCGCGGCGCCGGACTGCGCCGCGTGCCTGGCGCAGGCGGTGGTGCAGCTCAAGGGCACGTGCGGCTCCGCGCTGGCCGCCGACGTCTACCTGGAGCAGTGCTACGTCAAGTACTGGCAAAACGGACACGACTTCCGCTCTTCACAGGGTACGTATTTTCTTAGGAATACGTCTGCGTACGTGGTACAATGCCAACTATGTTAAGTATCGCTGTAGGAGTAAAACCATCTTCTTCTTCTCTTTTCTTTTTGCGGGGGAAGAGTAAAACCATCTTCAGCTTCAACAGATCACAACAACTCCTTCATTTCCTTGACAAGTTAATTTTTAGCCCTTTTTTCTCAAAAAAAAAACTGATTTTCTTAAAAATCCTAACGTTTAACTTCGTTTTATCAATGAAGTTCGAGACATACACATCAATTCAAATCTACGAGATTAAACAACAGTGAAAAATTTAGAGAACATGCATACCATGGCCCCACCGGATGCGCGAATTGGTCGTCAGATGCAACTGGAGACCACTATAGAACTATTATTAGTGATGATCAGTCAAAAGGTGATATGGAGGGCATGGGGCAATTGCAACGAGCATATATTCCGAATTGGTAAACTTCCAATCCAAAGTTTATAAAGAGGAGGACAAGCGGAATATATTCCAAACTATCGTTTTGTTAGATGTGAGTGAGGTAATGGTGGGGTTCGCAACAAGATTAGATGTGATTACTGGTAAACATGGTTGTGGGGGGGTGACTTCATATCATGGCGCTTTACACACACCGACGTGTTCAGTACAAATTTACTGATCAAATGATACATAGAAGCTACCCTACTCGTACTGATAATATTCCCTGTGAGCAAAGGATCACTTTGTGTGAGTGCTGCACTTGTTTATTTTGGACTTATTAATCTGCTTGGCTCGGCGACAGACTATTCGGGAGACGAATTTGGGAGGACCGTGGCCATAATAATTGGGATCTTGGCCGGGCTAGCACTCCTGGTGGTGTTCATCTCTTTCCTCACCAAAGCATGTAAGTCCTCTAAATTATGTCAGACCAAACTTTAGTTTTTCTTTTCTACCAAACTTCACTTGTGATTGTTGGGGTTTTGTCACCCAAGCCCAGAAATGAGAAAAGGAAGAGGAGGTTACCGCATCAAGTACCGTCGGGCACAGTTAACCATTTTTCCAATGCAATGCAGGCTAGAAGCCCACACGGCCCAGGTTACATCCAGCTACAGCATTAGAGACTAGAGGAGCAGGACGACAACATGGCATCAGAAGTTCAAGGAAAAACCCAGCAAAGGCTGCACATTCGCACTTCCATAGATCCACTGATCTTCAAGTTGTCTCAGAAGTATTGCCTCGGTTTTTCCTATTTTACTTTGAGAGAGGAAACTGCTCTTGAATAATTAAGACAAGAAAGAGAGGTCTGCTTGTGAACGCATTACTTGGTTGTTCAGCTAACCACACACCATGCACGATTAATAGTACGTGGTATAATATACATCACACAGCTAAAGCAACGTACATGGCCACATTCTTATATAGTCGGCCTAAAGGTTATTTTGATGATGATACACTACTAATAGCCCCATACAATACTACATATTCACATAAGCCGAGGACAAGTAACAACATACTAGCATGCACCTCAGCAGGTTGGTTGATCAAGCGCTGTACCCTTGGATCAACGTGCTCCATCTCGCGGAGTTCTGAACGCCGCAAGCACCGATGCTTGCTTCCTTCATCGTTGTGCCGGAAACACCATTGTTGCATATATTTGCGAAAGCTCGCATGTGCTTCATACCGTACTGAGTGAGCGATCCGCAATGAGACTCGAAGATCCGCACCTGAAGAAGCCGCTCAAGAGTCAAATCATCATCAACATTAAATTGACTGAGCTGAAACTATGCAGGTGTACACAACACAAGAGTCTCCTACTTACCATCCTCTTCAGGCAATCCCAGTCGTCCACTAGAGGCTTCCCAGAAGGTCTGACAGCTTGAAGCTCCGAAGGTCCATTCTCGAAGCCAAATAGGAGCTTCCCAATAAAATCAATGCTGTTGTCAAGATGCTTCCTGTGGGCGACTGTCTCACTGATCTCCCTCAGAACGTTCGCCTTCTCTTTAGACTTTTCATGTAGCAGCTCATACTGAAACCAAACCAAAATACCTTCAGCTAACATAGGCACATAAGGCAGAGGCTGATACTAAACAAAAATACTAATCAATCGCAGACACAGTGCTATAGGTTCCGATGCAAGTAGCTCACTAGTAAGTACAACTAAAATGGAGAATTTCCTGTAAACAAGAAATAGCAACTGATATATCAAGTGTAGACAACAAATCATCAATGGACCTAAGAAACACAAAATAGTGAGATATGACATCCCCTGACATAAGAATGCTACAAACCTACCCAAGATATTTTAGATGGTTCCAAATAAGAACCAGTATAACGCACAAATAACGTATCAACCTCAACTTTTCATGCTAGTTTAATCTCTTGCACAAGGGAAAATGTAACAAAAAGCTCAAATCGATAGACAGTAGACTGCTTAGTTGAGGTAAATCATCCTTCTGAAACAGAAGTCTATTACTGCAATTAGTGTTGAAGAGGTTAGCAAACCAACTGAAAGACTTCATAACACTGAAACATACCCTCCTCCACAAGAAAAGAAGATCTGCGTCTCTTTGGTTGATTGCAGCCTTTGGGGCTTGCAAAAATAGCTTGTTTGTAATGTTGGTGTTTGCAGGATTGAAACCTTGATAAAGGTAAAGCTTCTCATCCTTGAAGGTCTTGTCGCCATACTCCATAACATGAGAACCGGCACTATAGCTGTTCATGTCTGAGGTTCGCTTCTTTACCTGCACATGAAACTTTCAGTACCAGGACCTTTACAATTACAAATGACAATGGTAAAAAGGCAAATAAATCCGCACCACTTCATACTGCTTCTTGATTGTCTCCTCCTTCAGATTATTAGTCTCACTGTAAAATAGCATGGAGATAACCAAACACGTCATTAAGTGAATGCTTAGCATACAAACAGATTCTTCAGCAGACTTGTGTAATCTGGATTCGCAGGTTCTATGTCATGTACTTCAGAACTAAAGGAAGGAATGGACATGACTTGTTACAAAATCCTCCTCGAGGAACTATGCAGTGCAAAGTAATGCAACCAAAATATAACTCATCAGCTGCTGGTCGTTGTACCCTATTCTGCTAAACACTGGTACTCTGTAAATTAATCTTGCCATTGTGAATTTAGGTTACGAGTTACAGACCTGTCTTCCATCCAAGAAATACTGTAGAGATCACCTAAGCAGGTAATATACTCAGAAGGAGGCGATGGTTCCATTCCTGGGCAGTATGTACCCCAGCTGCTTTCTTCTGCATTAGATGCTGTTGTGACATAAATATTGAGGTCTGCAGGCATCAAACCCTCAAAAATACTGCCACTTTCACAAGCTTCCACATATATAACCTGCCAATTATAGCACTGATTTCAGTCAAACAGGCCACGGTTACCACAAACAAGTAACTATGGGCAGCATTACCATTTTTGCATAGGTATTGGATGCATGTTTTTCTTGTAAGACCTTGATAAAATCAGCAGCATAGAGATATGGCAGGTTGGGCATACCTGAAACTTGCAAAAGTCAATACACAAGATGAACAAAACTAACTAATACAACAAAGCAGCGGGTATAACTTCCACACACCAAGGACTCCGGGACCCCCGTGATCTGAGTAGTAGATAAATATATGGTCATTTGGTTTGCTATCTATGACCTTCTTACTCCCTCCAGTGACCGCAGTTTTGTTGCCCAAGAGAACTGCATAGAAGTTCTTAGCAGTAACTGCCTCTCCGGTGTAGTCCTGAAATTATAATGCATATCTTCATCGAACTTGAGAGAAGGGCAATAGATATGTTCTGTACTTCTACCATACACAATTCTTAAGCCATATGAAGCTCAAAAAGAACATGCCGATATTGAACTATTTCTTTTGTGTCTTGATGCAGTGATAGTTAAGTTTCTGTAGAACAGTCCTACAAGTACACCGAAACACACACAGCCCCCACAACCAGGGGCATAGCCAAGCCCCAGGTTGCCCGGGCAGGGGCCTGAGGCGTAAAAGGCACGTGCTGTAATTGACGAAGCCAAACAACTTAACTGGCGAAATCAATAGACTGCAAGGGAACAACCTACATAGAAGTATTCGCCTAACAGCATGCCTGTTTATTCCCCATGAATATATTAGTGATTCCCATCAGGATTCAGGAGACAAAAATAATGGTAAGACTGTCATCATGTAAGTAGCTAATAGCTACTCCCTCCGTTCCTAAATATTTGTCTTTTAGAGATTTCAAATGGACTACCACATACAGATGTATATAGACATATTTTAGAGTGTAGATTCACTCATTTTGCTCCATATGTAGTCACTTGTTGAAATCTCTAGAAAGAAAATATTTAGGAACGGAGGGAGTAGAACACAAAATAAGTTACTCACAATGTTGAGGCTGAGTTATGAATGCACACAACAGCATACATTAGCCCACATGCAATGCTATTTTGGAGATTTTGCTACATTCTAATTTTAAATTTCTCCTGACAATATTTCATATCTTAGTAAATCTAAAATTGTTCTTCTGCGAACTACTCCCACCGGACCTAATATAAGCCTTTTTAGAGAATCCAATATGGACTACATACAGAGCAAAATGAGTGAATCAACACTCTAAAATATGTCTATATAATCCGTATGTAGTTCGTATTGAAATCTATAAAAGGGCTTATATTTAGGAACAGAGGGAGTACTTAATTTAATAATTTTGAATATACACGATTAAATGTAATATAATATCATACAAACTAGCTCATGGAAATGCGTTGGTTGATGACTAGTGATCCTAATGTTCAACTCCAAGTTAAGCTCGCAGGTCATACCTTTGGAACGCCAGCATATACATCTTCGCCCTCTGGGTGATTGATGATAACCCCTGGCCTCGGGTTGAGAAGGTTGTTGGCAATGTCATCATACATAAACACCACGATGTTCTCCTCTTTTACGCCTCCTTTTCTCAATATCTGGTAGGCATGGCATATATCGGCCTGCAACAGCAACACACCAAGAATAAATCAAGAGTTCAACAAATGGTCCACGAAACATAGCTACTTCATGGTATCTCCTTAGTTTCGAACCAAAGCAACATGTAAGCACACATTATTTTACCCAAATAATAAGTGCCACATGTGTGGCACGAAGCACTCGGCCCTGATGTTTTTTACAACTAAAGTTGCCATCCGAAAACCAAAAACAAAACTGAAACTTGTCATCCGAAAAGAAGTTGCCATCCTCGCATTCCTAAACATGCCATAAAAAACATTCGGAGTTGCCATGTGTTTGTGCCAAACGTGTGGGTGTGGCACTTATCAGGGTCCTTGTTTTACCCACAGGCAAAATGTTCAATCAGGCTTTCAAGACTGCTACAAAATTCCAGTGTACACTAGTGATCTGATTAAAGGTGCAAGTATCCACATAATGAAATCTAGCTCTTATTTCTTTTGTCATCTAAATTCTGTCCAGCATCACCATTATTTTTCAGTGGCAAAATTTATCTCGTTTCTACCCTAACACAGAAAATCAGAAACCATTTCCCCATTATGAATCAAGTTGCTACCGACACTGAATCTCTCCTGAAAAGATCAAGAGAAGAAGCAAAACAAAACATCACTGTCTGGAGCTTCCTAACAAACAGACAACTGCAGTTGGGGGTAGCAGGATACGAATTAGACCATCAAATGTCCCTATTTGGAGATTCTTGTGATTCTTAAGTATAGTTATCTAGGAAAACCTTGGGAGTTGTCAAGTTCTGCACC